GAATGTTATCTGCATACAACCTGAAAACTGTTTGGGAATCCACAATCTTATAATCAATCCTTATATCTCCAGCCCTAAATGAATTGTGCGTTCTTAGCCTCTTATTATTCATTTTCTGTTTTAAAGGAAGCCACAAATGATTCTTAAAAGCTGTATTTTGAATTATTTACATGGGAACTATAAGAAAAAAGCATGAAAAGAGCTGGGAGAAAAAGCTATTCTGCTAAACCTCATAATAAAACTATTGATTATTCTACTTGGTTAAAAAGGCTGCCTTTTGTTCATGGATACTGCCCCTTCAATGTCTAAGCTATTTAAAATAAAATAAAATGATGCACTATGAACAGCATTTATCTTGAGTCATATTATTCCTTCCCCTATGTACTTTAATGATGTTTTGCTTTTTCTACTATATATCTTTAAATCATTAGAGAGCTTCCTAAAATGCAAACAATTGTGTTTTGTTGCTTTTTCTCCTGCTTGTTATTGCAAGATGCTTCATAATAGCATGAGACGGAATGGTCCCAGTGCAATGCTCCTGGTGTGCAGCTAAACTGGCTTTTCATTCTAACTTCCAATGCCTCTTCTCTTGGGTGCCATAAAATATAAGAGCATAAGATCTTAATGGAATCAAGCTTTCCATTTTTCTGGAAAGCTCATGTTATATGTGATGAGGTGCCAGAAGAGATGCCTAGAGGAATATTGGAGGAAAGTGAAGAGTGAATCTGACCAAGCATCAGTAAGAGCCCATATTAAGAATTAACAGTGGTAACAGTGTAAAAAATAGTTATTTGTTCGCTCTTATAAGTATAGATAGCTATCCAGCAGCCCTTTATAAAATGACTCATTCCTTGCTGGGGAGGAATAAGGATCATCCTTATGGCCACTATGAGAACATTTTAGCATAAAATGGATAAAGTTGTTCAGAATCATTAGACTCTAAATGTTAAAGTGCAAGAAGCTACCTATGGTGGGTTTGCACCTGTAACACCCAAGGAAGTGGATAGAGTTCTTGGGATTGTTGATCTACTCACTTATTTACAAGAAACATATCCCTCCTGGCTGGGGAAGGCCACCCAAGAGGTGACATATGGTCGGATCCATATGTCGGTATCTGTTTTATCAAGAAAGAGGATGATATCCCTTCCTTGAACGAGGAGGTGATATATGACCTTCTCAAAAAGCCTTTCCTTTTCATCTAGTCTCAAGCTTTCATATTTTAGGGAAAGATTTTGAAAAGGTGGCTATCTTCAGAAGGTCCTGAAGGAAACAGATTATTTAGACCCCTTTAGTCAGATTTTAGATCAGATCATAATACTGACACAAAATTGATCATGCTTGCTGATTACCTTTGGCAGGATTGGGACAGAGCTAATGCAGCTATCAATGCTGCCTTTGATCTTGCAATAACTATCAATACCATCAACCTGAGTATCTTTATGGATCATATATACAGGGATTAGGAGGGGGAGGCATGGCATTGTGGTGATATTTTCTGTTTCTCTGTGGTCAGATCCAGTCAGTATTGGAAAAGAGAGATCGAATCAGAGTTCCCTGATGTGTAGGGCATTTTTGAGCCTAACGGTTTTGCCCTCCTGTTTAGCATCTACATGGTGCTATTGAGGTCATCTATTGGCTGGGGGTCAGGTATTATTAATTATTATTAATAGTTGGAGTACCTAGTTGTACATCTGAACCCTAGGCTAACTAGGTGATGCTATCAAGATCTTATCTTGGTATCTGGAGACTCTGCAGATTTGGGTAGAAAAGAACATATTTGGACTCATTCTTGGCATAGCTGATTGGTTGTGAGTATTTGAACTACCCAGGCCTGGAAAGGTTTCACCTTTAGTCCTGAATGGAGTCTCACTTCTCATTTTATTTATTTTATTTGTTTGTTTGGTAAAATTATAGAGCTTCCCATCTCACATACATGACTCTGAATGGTTTACAAAGGTAAAAAACGCAGACACTATAACAAAATAACCAAAAGATATCACAAACATTAATAAACAATAAAAACCGTTACAATGGGTAGGACAGTACACTCAATTTCCCTAGCAATACAAACACTTTGCAGGCTCTATACCTATGTTCCTAGATTTCCTGATGACATGGCAAAGTCATATTTTTAGACCCTGGAAATGGCCAGCAAGACAGTGACCTCAGGGAAAATGATATTCCAAAGAATGGGTGCCACAGCATAAAAAAGCTTTCCTCCTGGGTCCCATCAGATGGCATTCCTTTGTGGATGGGACCTGTAACATACCCTACTTCCCAGACCTGAAGAGATGTGTAAATGTGATTGGGAAGAGGCAGTGCCTTAAATAACTCAACCACAAGCCATTTGGGACTGGTACAGAATTCCTGTGAATTTCAGGATTCACGGTTCTTGCTCAAGGATCAGGTGTCCAAGAAAACTTTCTCATAGCTTCATCTAATGCTCCAGGAGGCTCTTAGGATACTTTGGTCACCCTTTGTTTCAACTATTGCAATGTGCTCCCTGAAGACAGCTTGGAAGCTGAAACTAGTCCAGAACACAGCAGCTTTGATAGTTACAGACCAGCCACAATATGCCCATGTAACCAGCTGCACTGTATACCAGTAGATTTCTGGGTGCAATAGTGAAGTGCTGCTATTTTTAGGACCTGATTATTTGGGGTATTCTGTTTTCGAAGTAAAGGCATTGAGACGAGGCAGGAATAACAACAGTCTTCTCTTTATTCACTCTCCAACAGAACCACAAACAAAATGGCGTGGATTCCTTTTATACCCCTTTGCAGGGACAGTGTCAGCCAATCAATACAACGTATTTCTCCCGCCTTTCACATGCGCAATAGGCTGGAGACAGCCTGTCTGGTCCCGGGCATTCACGTGGTCTGCCCAGGCTCTCTGCAGCTTCCTGCACCTGCTAAGTCACTCAGCAGGCCCAGGACATAACATGGGGATTGGGACAATATATTCTGGACCCATCAATTAAACACCGACCCCTGCTAGGACCTAGGAAGTGGACCTTCTTAGTGCAATGCCTGCTATCTGGAATGATGTCCCTTCAGAGTTTTGTACAGTCCTCAGTGTGACCCTGTTCAAATCAGCCCTGAAAACCTAGCTGTCTCCACAGGCTGTAGATTAGAATGAGTGGTAAACCTAGTACAGTTAGTTTATTTTTTCTGGACATTTGTTTTTGTAACTTTTGTATAATATTGTCATGACTGAGATGGGTAGCCTATAAATTTAATAATCAATAAATATTGTGTGGACTTAATTTGTCTCCATAATCGATAAAGAAAGAAGCTTTGTAGTTTCAATTTATGTACATTCTGCTTTCAATAATCACACCCAAGGCATAGGACTTTGGGGGTCAAACTGCAGACAGTGCTAAATGTGCCTCTGCATTTAATAAGCTGATTTTAAAAAATGGAAAGAGCATCAGCTGGGGAAACAGTAATTAATGGGTTGCAACAAGCATAAACAAAGCATTAACTGTTTCCTCCACTGCCTACTGGGAGTAGCTACCTTCTGAAACAAATACAGTGAAACTCCTCCAGCATGATTGTTGGGGTCCCAGTGATACCCTAGATCAGAAACATTCCCTTAGACTTCCCGATGGCTGGCTGGGGAATTCTGGGAATTGACGTCTACAAGTCTTAAAATTGTCACGCGGCTCTAGATTAATCCTACTTGCCTTTCTTAAAACCTGCAGGCAAATGAAAAAGCAAATCTACTTTTACATGCTGCTTTGCTCAGAAAAACTGCTAAGAAGGCAATGTTTGGGTAAAGGACAAATATCTAAGTATAACTATCTAAAACAAACCTTAATGTGAATTGCTACTTTTTCCCCCTTTTATTATCTGAAACATAACTGGGTACAGGTAATTCATTTTTTTATCAATATTACAATGAATTTCAACCTTGGCATCCCTAGCCACACCCAGTCCCTTTGAAATGATCCCTTCTAGGATTAAGAATTTGAAGCTTGGTAGTCTCCACTGACATGTAGGAGAGTTGTTTTCCTAAACATCTTAGATATGTGTAGAGCAGATGTGAAGAGATGTTCCTGGGGAGCAAATACCTTACTTCCCCAAATTGCTACACTATAGAAAAGCATTTCTTCCCTGCATAGCTCTAATTAGGTTGGCTTTATTTTTTCAAATATAGCTGCAGGCTACATATTAAACCTGACACATAGTGGGATGGAAGTGGCTGGATGACACATCAACTGTCTTGAAAACACAATAAACATCTGTTTGAACCACAGTTACCATGCTTACGTCACATTGTTTTTCATCTTTCCTAAGATAATTTTATTGTACTGATTGCTTTGTCAGGAATCTCTATGCCTTGCACCCTTCTAGCAAGTTTTGTAATTTAAAAACTCTTCATTTCTTGCAGGATTGTAGTGGCAAGTATCATGTAATTCACAAAATGCAGCAGAAGCTAGCTTGATTTCTATAGAGAAGGTGTTCACTATATGAGCATGCTGATTGGACTTTATGGAGGCTGCAGTCCAATATATTCCAAGGATTGGGACCAGGGAAGACTGATGTATGTGTTCATAGAACTTACTAAATCATAGTTCGTTTAAACATTGAATAACCCACAATTGCCAAGATTTATACATCTTATTAAGCCAGAAAATATCAAACCTCCTAATGGTTTAGCATATTGGGAGACCCTAATAATAACAGGGCACGACTATTTAGTTTGCTTAAGAAGCAAAGTATGTTTGGATTACTATGAAATCAAGTCTTTATTTCAGATATGGGCAATGATATTCTTGACACTGACCAAAAACTTGCACAGAAAACCTTTTATCTTTTAAACCAGCACTCTCAAATTGTTTTCCCAAAGTCATGGGCTAAGCATGTGGCTTCTTTTATGCAGAGTTCAGACATTCATATAGCCTGAACTGGTGAATATTTTCACTCTCAAGAAAATTCCACAGCAAGTTCTTCTATCGGATCTCAGCTTTTATGTACAAATATTCTTGTTCCAAACAGATTCTGATGGGTGAAATGTCAAAATAGTCCATAACTCACTGAACCTGAACTGGCAGGTTGTGGTGGGCTTCTTTGGGAAAGAGATGGGAGGCAGCGAGCACAGACAGGAGCAAAAGCCTTGCCCATTGGATGAAAGGTAAGTCAGAGCATCCCCAGGTTGCTGGAGCAACCAAATGATTCACCTCCAACTTCTGTTACTGAGCTGTGAGAACAAACAAGTAATTTTGCAGTTCAGCCAAGGAAAGAAAGGAAAGATTTTGCCTTCTCTCCATTCTGATTCTATTTCAGTTCAAGAAGAGGATCCAGAGCTAAGGATCCAGCCAAACAGCTGGTTTAACTTGTTGTCCTCCAGTCTGTGAGGCCAAAGTGTATAAGGTCCAATTTGCTCCGTCTAAATAACCGGACTCTAATCCTTATCAGAAATTTGCACCATGAATGGTTCTGCCCTAGTATAGTTTTAGTCTTTCAGGGCAGGAGAAGGTGCACTGATAGGTGGATTACCCTCCAGTGTGAATATCATCCACCAGCTTCTCTTACTAGCTTCGCTAGAGCCTGAGATGGTCTCTGTAAAGCAGGAGAGACTCTCCCTTCCTACTTTATTGAATCACCTGCAACATCTGATCCAGTGGAGTGCACTCTCAGTTCACCTTAGCCCAGTGTTTCCCAAACTTGACAATTTTAAGGCATGTGGACTTCAACTCCCAGAATTCCACATGGGAAACACTGCCTTAGCCCACTGCAAATACTTTAGGCCGGTCTGGTTAGTGGTTAAGGCACCAGGCTAGAGACCAAGAGATTGTGAGTTCTAGTCCCACTTTAGGCATGAAAGTTGGCTGGGTGACTTTGAGCCAGTCTTTCTCTCTCAGCCCACTGAAGGACGATGTGTTAGGCATGATTGTTGCCTTGTGTTAGTTTTAAAAATGATAAAAAGGGGGATTAAAAACAAACCAACAAATAATTCAGTCAATGTCCCATTCAAGATAAGGACAGTCCTGCAGTTTTGCTTTTTTTTAAAAAAAAAAAAAAAAACCCTTTGCTCTGTACAAAAAGAAAAGGAAATGGATTGTACCCTTCCATCCATTTTCCCCCAGTGTGGATGCTTCTAGCTGTTAGCAAATATATATATATCTTCATTATAATGAAATGAAGCTGCCTGGCTACAAAGCTGTCATTCTTGCTATATTAAAAATCCAATTGAAAGCTGTGAAGGTAGCATGATATACCACCAAGTTTGTAACTACGCACCTTTTCCATCATTTCTATGCATAGTTATAGACTGCAATGGGCAGTCCCTGCTGAATGAGGTGATAAATTCTAAATAAAATTAATATTATTTTAGGCTGAAGGACAAGAATTCACTTTAAGCATATTTCTACACTGCCACTATTTACATTGCATAATTGAAATAGTTATTTCTATGCAAAAGGGGTTGGTGGGAGGGAGAGAAGTTTTAAAAACCTAAGCAGCAGCCTGGTTTTTTGTGCACCTATTGTCAATGTTACCCTTGCTCAATCAAACCAGCATCCTTCTTAAAGGGGAAGGAACAAAGAGTCCACAAGCTCTGCAGAGCTCCAACACTGGTAGCTCACATTGCAGTTAATCCATAAATAAGGGTGGTTCAGCTTCCAAACTTAACTTTAGTGATGGGTTGCAGAACTGCTTTGGAATTGGTGCAAAATTTCTGTGCTCTGTATGTAACCCAAAGATTTGCAATGAACTTGGGTGTGAACAGAGAATGTTATTTTGAAGCTGTGTAGCTAAATTGCAACATGCAGAGAACCAAATCCTCCAAGGATGGCAGGTAAATTAAGGTACAAATTTTGGGAAGACATAGCAAATTCATACCAGACCTGCAGATTCTGGATCATAGTTTACTAACCCAGCCCTAAAGGTCAGACAATGGGAAAAGGAGAAAAATTGAAAGGAAGCAAACTAGTTTAAGGGGAGAAAAGAAAAATCTTAATTTTAGATGTGATGGGTGAGATGAAAAAGAGGAGAAGAAAGGAAAACTGGAGCCAGCAGGTGGAGACATCCTCTGTGGTCCCAAATTTGTGAGCAAGAGATGAAGAGGAGAAAGCATAAGGCTTTTGTGCAAAGGATACCAGAGTAAGAATGACAGTTGAATTAATATGGTAGCTGAAAGAGTTAGGGGTGAAGACAAGCTGACAAGCATGCTGGAGATCTTGGGGGGGGGGGTTAAAGATGCTAGAATGAGAGGGGACAGACAGATTGAAAACCTGATCCAAGAATGTGAGATGTTGGCAGAGACAATTATACTGAATGCATTTTTTTTCAAGTTGAGAGATGGAGAGATGAAACTTCAGCAGTATATACTGCATCTTTTAAAGTGCTTCATAGTTTAATATTGCAGAATGTTATTACTGTCCCTGTCTGCTCTTATTCATATACTGTATGTTGTTTCATAGAACATAGAATAATAGAGTTGGAAGGCACCTCAGAAGTTTTCCAGTCCAACTCCGAGCTTGAGCAGGAGAACCTGCTCAACCATTCAGACAAATGGTTGTCCAGTCTCTTTTTGAAAGCCTTCAGTGATGGGGCACTCAAAACTTCTGAAGGCAAAGCTATTCCATTGGTTGATTGCTCTCACCATTAAGAAATTGCTCATTAGTTCTAGGTTGATTCTCTCCTTGGTTAGTTTCTAATCATTGTTTCTTGTCTTGCCTTTTGGTGCTTTGGAAAATAAGTTGATCCCCTCATCTTTGTAGGAGCCGCTCAAATATTGGAAAACTGCTTTCATGTTCCCCCAGTCCTTATTTTCATTAAACTAGACATACCCAATTCCAAGGCAAAAATGGTAAAAAAGGGAAATTGTTCTTCTTATAGGATGGCCCAGTAGGGAAAAAGTCCCTTCTCAGAGTACTCTACTGAAGGAAATGAGAATAATCAATGAGAACAATCTCTGTTTAGAGGTGAAGAAGAAACACTTGGAATGTAATGGATGGAGTAGTGCAGGAAAAATAAGTTCTCCAACTTAGGATAAGGTTCTGTATTGCTTTTGTGTTATAGCTGAAGCTATAGGCTTCACTCAGAAGCTTTATTTAAGAACAGTCTTGATATTTTAAAATTTATTAAAACTTCAAGTCATGCTATCTCGTTGAAAATTTTCAGATTGTGGGGTTACTTATAGACACCGCTGTTTCATAGATATTGGATATAATGTATTGGGAAATGTTTCAGCACTGTACTTATGATTATGATTTGTACAAAAACCACATTTCCTTGTAATACTAAGTGAGCTTTTTACTGCAGAAAAATTCTTGGAAGATTGTTCCATTTTCTTTTAGCCTCACCAAGTTTTTTTTCTCTTCACTCTAATAGCCTTTCTGTTCCTGCTGTAAATTGATTATGTTCTTATAGATGTGGTGATGACACCTGGCTTAAATGGCTTTAAAAGGGATAAGATAAATGCACGGAAGATAGGTTTTGATAGCTAAGTGAAATCTCTGTCCATGGAGTCTACAGTATATCTTTATAATCTGACCTGCTGCAGTGCAAGTAATGGGATAGAATTGTGTCTTCATTGTGTTGCCTGTGGATCTTTTAGAAGCATGTGGTTGCCTACTCTTGGAAACTAGACATTAGGCTAGATCAGTAATAGTGAACCTATGACACAAATGTCAAAGGTGATATGCCATGACATTTTGGGTGACACGCTAGTGTTCATCAACATTCAACCACTATTCTCCCTGTTTCAGTTATCAAAGAACTTGATACAAATACAAATATAAGAAATATGCAACCTGGCAACACCCAAAGTTTAAAATGATTCTCACCATCCATATCAACTCATGATCTACCATATTCAGAATTGTGATTGGTAGTGATATGAGAGCAATGTGCAAAATGTGATTGAAATTGGATGGGGTCTTCCAATTGCTGCACAGGATGATTGTGCAGTGAAGCTCATTTTCAAGGTACAAGTGCAGAGGATATTTGCAGCTGCAATACTCTTTAAAATGGGTGCTTTGTCAGTGTTTATATGAAATCAGCTTTTGCATTTGTGTGAACAAGATGTGTGTTGAAATATAAATGAATATGTAAAGAATTGTGACATCCCAGTCTAGTCAAGTTAGGCATTTTCTGAATTTTTGATATTCTGAGCCCAAAATTTAGCCATCACTGAATTAGATGGCTAAATTTTGGGCTCAGAATCCACCATCACCATTTACATTTTGCATGTTTACAACTGTTCACCTAATATTACTGATGGACCATGTTAGACAGGATGTTTTCTAGTTATATGGAAGGATAGAAGGGGACGGGCTACATTTAGACTGGAATTGTTGATAGGTTCCATGCTTTTCAGTGTATCCATATTGCCTCTAGCAAAAATTGATGGCTGAAATAAATAAAAATTCAGCCAGAAGCTGCCAATTGCTGGTGCAACTGATGCTTTTCAGAACAAAATTAGCAGAAGACAGTTGGTTGCCCTTTGGAGTTTATTCTACAAAAGTAGAGAATTGAATGTTGGTGAGGCAAGAAAGGCTGTTCATAATTATCTAGGTGAGGATGTGTACAACATACATATTTAAAAGTGTTCTTTTATCCGCCTGTATAATTTCGGCTTTAACTTGAAATGGAAAATGAAATTCTATAAATACTATTTATAGTATGTTTTTCTGTCTGTCATATGAAGTCATTAACAGGAGAACATAACATAAGAGAGACTTTAGCTACTTTATTTTTAGAAATGTCTTAAGCTTTTACAAAGGTTTAAGGCCTCCAGTTTGCTTTTCTCCCAACCCTCTCAAGTAAACCTAAAAAGTTCAACGTTTCCCACTTTGGGAAAGTTCTGAATACATAAGGGGTAAATGACACTCATGCAGTCTTCTACCTGAGAAAGGTTTTAATAAGAAATCCATTTAATATGTTATAGTGAAAGAAATAGATATAAAAAGGACCTTAGAGTATACAGTAAATAGGGAAAAGGAAAGGCAGCAATCATGCTTTTAGAAGTCCACATAAAATTAGGACAGATCAATATAAGGTAGCCACATTAGTTACTGTCATGGATTCAGTCTGAAAGAGCACAACACTGAGAAGGAGAACCATGTTTCTCGTAAGGGTCTTTGAGGGCTTGCTTTGGAAGAAAGGGGGACCCTGAACAATGGGAAG